TKSCMRGGGSMRGGGGRRAAAAAAAAAAAAAACAAAAAACAGGAAAACTAAAAAGAGCACAGGGGTTGGGCTATATTAACCACAGAATGGATGGTAGGAGGCTGTTTTGAAATTGAATGGTACTTTTCATTCACCAGAACAAAGTTATAAGTGAGAAACTGTTATCATTTAGGCACTTTACAATGGTGAAAGTCCATTTTCGCCTACCAGGTTAACCACTGTAAACCTTTGAAGGAGTGGGGAAATCCAACACTTTATCTCATTTTAATTGAAATGTTAAATGACCATCAGTCAAAATGAATTATCCTACCTCACAATAAATCTTTATTCATGAGACATTAGCCACAAAAACTGAGAATCGAACGCTGTACCAGTTGTGTGTGTGTACGTATATGTGTGTGTGCACAAAAAAWATATATATCATCAGAGGATCAACAATACTACACTAAGCCTGTTATTTACTGATAAAGTTTGGGAAAGAATCATAATTTTATGCTCATTTTCTGTTTTAATTCATTTTATGCTGTTTTCACAGAATATCTGAGACTAGGTAATTTATAAATAACAGAGATGTGCTCTGTCTGGACTTCTGGGAAGTCCAAGTCAAGGGGCCTATATCTGGTGAAGGTCTTCTTACTGCATCATCCTTAATAGAAGCAGGAAAAGTAAAAGTGAAAGAGAAAAGAGGAATGGGACCAAACTTTTATAACAAACCCACTCCTGTCATATTGGCATTAATCCATTTAGGAAAGCAGATCCTCCATGATTTCATCACCTCTTAAAGGTCTCACCTCTCAACACTGTTGCATTGGGGTAAAGGGTCCAACATGTGAATTTGGGGAAACATATTTTTAAAAAAATCATAGAGCTTTTTTCCTCTGTCTCAGACTATCTTTCCTGGAACACCACCTTCATTTCTGTGTTTTATACACTCTAAAGGAATCAGCATAAGGCTTTAAGGGGCCTCAAAATTAAGCTATTCAGTCCTCATCTACCCAAATATATACATACCCAGTAGAACTGCTCTCTGTGCTTTGGTTCATGAAGGATTTGGAAAGTCTGTGAAAATATTATCGTGATTTACCATTTCYACATAGGATAGCTCCTCTTTCTATTGACTACAAGGTTAAGAACGTATCGAGAAGGAGAATAGTCACATTTAGTGTTTTATCCTGCCACGTCATTCCCTTTTACTTTCTCAATAACAACATGAACTTCTGGGTAAGCATAAGCCACAGTCACAAAGCATTGTTTGTTGATGAACCCCAGTTACTTTCAAGTAGAACAATCTAAGATTCTTGTAAAGCAGTCTGTGTGAAGAATTCTTTATATATATATATATTCTCCCTCCAACTTCATGTATTGCATGTTTAATCCTCAGTGCAACCACATTGAGAGGCAGGATCTTTAAGGGGTGATTAATGTCATTATTGCAGGAATGGGTTAGTTATTGTAGGAATCTGGTCCTGATAAAAGAATTAAGTTCCACCCCCTTTCTCTCTCCACCCAGGTGATGCCTTCTGCCATGGTATGATGCAGCAGATGTGGGTCCCTTGACCTTGGACTTCCCAGCCTTCAGAACTGTAAGAACTAAATCTCTGTTCATTATAAGTTCTCTAGCTGCAGGTGTTCTATTATATCAGCACAAAGTGGACTGAGACCTCACTTTTATTGTTACCATTGTTTTGCCCTCATTTAATTTGATAGTGTTGTTTTAGTGATTACCTTTAAAGGTTATTACTCAATCTTCAAATTCATTATCATACAAATGAAGTTATTTTCTTGTTGAGCTCATATTTGGTTTACACAATATTTAGTTTAATTGTGTAATTATAGATATAAACCAGTCTGGAACTACTGTAGCTCAGCACTTGACTGGTAGGTGCATACACGTAAGGGTGGACCAGGGAGGGGCTGATTGCCTCTAGATTTCAGCAAGTCATAGCCATCAGTCAGCAGGCCTTACAGTGGGAACAGAGGGTGACAGCTAATCCAGTGAAATGAAAATTGGAAGTCAAATAAAATAGTTTTTATTGTATTCTCAATATACTGATTGAGAAACAAAATCCAGTGAATTCTAGATGCACTCCCAGTGCACTGGAGGGATGGTGAAGCAAGACTTAGGGACATCTTTCCAAAGAAAGGATGCTCAAGTAGAAGTGTTGAATCAAGCAGAAGAGAGACAGTGATCTGAACAAAGGACACCACTGGGCAGAGAGCAGCAAGTAGTTTCTAGAGTAGTTTCTAGAATAGTTTCTAAATGATTTAAATACAATGAGTTTAAAGAGGTAAGTAGAGGCCAAATACAACAAAAAGCTGCCTACATTACTCTGAAGAATTTGAACTTTACTCCCAGGACAATGGGAATGGGTGAAAGGAATTAGGCAGTTGAGTCACAGGCTCAGATTTGAACTTTGCGAATATCACTTGACTGCATTGTGGAGAAAGGGCTGGAATGCCAGATAGGAAGGAGGCTGTGGCAGTAGTAGAAGCAAGGGCTGATGGAGGCCTTAATTTGCATAATGTCTGTGGAGATAGAGACAGGATACATTTAGGAGCTAGTTTCAATAGGACTTGCTAATTGATTGGATATGGAGGTGGTGATAAAGAGACAAGGGTGACTCTTAGGTTTGGGGGACAGTCATCTGGATAAAGTGAGGTATCATTCTTCGAGACAGGAGAAAAAGGAGTAAGTTTCATGGTGGTAGAATATAATTCTACACATGCCATATTTGAGCATCCAGTTTGAGATGACCTGTGGGTAGTTGAATACATATACAAAAAGAATTTTCTTTAGGAGAAAAGATCTGGATGGGAAATATGGATGTTGTAAATAGCAATGTATAAATGTGAGTTTGATTGATGGAAGAGGATGAAATTATATATAAGAATGTAGAATAGGAGAAGAAAATGAGCCAAATGGTGGAAAATTTCTGATTACCTATGTCATGTGAGTGATGTCTCAGGAGTAACTCATCATACTAATGCTTACACATGATGGCATAATGACATGTGTATAATGACATCTTTTTTAAAAAGCCTCCAACGCACTATGGCTGACTTCCCTTATGTGAAATAAGTGAGTAATACTGAGCTGAAAAGTGCGTAGTGTGACTACCATTCATCCTGTCCACTTCAAAGCATGCAAAATTATAAATAAAAACTGATATACTGTCATAAGTGTATCATATTTGTACATTATCAAAAAAGGTGGTGGGTTTGATACTAGTGGTAGTTGTAAAGAAAAGGACCAGCTATCTTATCTAAAATAAGGTGTGTCAACTTCAAAGCAAGTCTTTTCCTTTTCCTGAATGGAATTACTTATACAGTGATTTGTTACAATGGAAATCAGTGGATACTAGAGTGGGGGTTAAAGTCTCAACTCCATAAGCAATCTCTCAACAGCAGCCTTTAAACAGTCCCAAGGACAGACATCCTTGGTCAGGAGCTTAAAATAAGCTTCCAATTTTTTTCTTTTGCCACAAACAAATTAGTAACCTCCTCTGGTTCTATTATGTTGCCCAGAGAAGGAAGGGTTAGCAGATGATCTCCAAGGTCTCCATCAGTTTCAACACCCTGTGGTTCTAGTCACCTGAAAGATTAAGTCAGGGCTGAATTCACTAGGTAGTTTGAATGCCTGAATTCATCCTATTCAGCTCTACCCGTCAAAGGCAGGCAAGTACTTTTAGCCTGGTAGCATTCTCAATCAAGAYTTGTCACCACTCAAAGACCAGGTAGACTAAGATGCATATATTAAGTCTTTCCTCCAAGGTCCTAGTAAGTATTACTGTGATTATTTTATTATTCCTGGCTATTGCCTGAAATCTATGATTGTCATCACAGGTTTATTAGAAGAGCATTTCCCCCAGCTCCATCCAGAGCACTGAGGGTGGCTATTTGTAATTCAATATACCATTTCCAAAACCACAACTTTCACATTTTTTAAAATTCTTTTTACATTTGGTTCCAATGCAGGGGTGAAAAAAAATCGGTATTAAAATTAGAAGAACTTAATTTTCTTCAAGATCATTGTTTTATTTGTGAATGGTAGGATAACTTATACATTTCTTTAATTTGGAATTGAAGAGTTTCTTGATAACAAAATGAAGTTTACTCTCAGAACTTTCCCTCAATACCTCCAACTCTGCGAACTAGCCTAGTTTTTGCTCACTTGTTTGCGCACTCCCTTTAAGCCCTTCAACTCCATTTGATATATGGTTCCCAGGACGTAGTGGAGACTTCTGGCTGGAGAGGCTGGAAAATGTAACACCAAATTTCCTACAATCTCGGCTCCACTTTCTCCTGAGTCCGGCCCCCGGCTGGAGCCTTGTTATTGTCACGTGGCCTCGGGGTCGCCCGCGGCCTGGCGGGCCAATGGGCGCACGCGGGCCTTACCCGCCCCGCCCCGCCTCGATGCTCCGCAGTTCTGGGACTTCGTGCTTCGCCGCTGGGAGGAGGCGAAAAAGTTTCTTTGCGGGCAAGCTTGCGGACGCTGCTCGGGCTGCAACTCTGCCACAATTTGGCGGTACTTTTCTGTTTCTGTCCTGCTGCTCCGGGGCATGAGAGGGCTTTGGTGCTAGGAGTAAAAGAAGTTTATCTGGGAGCTCGAGAGAGGAGCACGCGGCTGGCATCAGGGCGTTCACTCGTGGCTGGAAGTTTGTAACCGAGCCCGAGTTCGCGCCGGCTGCGGAGCGCCGGGCCGAGCTAGAGGCCTCGGGACCACGATGTGCGCGCCGAAGCTTCGTGCGCCCGCGGCGGCGCTGGGACTGCTGCTGTGCGCGGCGCTGGGCCGCGGGAGCCCGGGCGAAGGCAGTCTTCTTGGCGGCCGCGGTGCACTCGGGCAGCCCTCGGAGGTTGCCACCGAGCACCCGTGTCCAGCTCCCTGCCGCTGCCTCGGGGAGCTGCTGGACTGCAGTCGCCAGCGGCTGGCTAGTCTTCCCGAGCCACTCCCGTCCTGGGTCACTCGGCTGTAAGTATTCTTCCCGCGGACGGAGGGGATCGGACCGCTCGATTGCGGAAAAGCGGGAGACAGTCAGGGCCTGGTTGCGCCCTCTTCCAGGGCTGCTCTTACTGGCCCAGGCCACTAGCGGCGCTTGGTGGGGGTGGAAAAGGAGCTGTGGGGCCTCAGTCTCCTTCCTGAGTGCTGCGCAGGTGGGCGCTTGGGGCGCCCCACCCGGCGGCTGGCGGAGGTGGGGAGGGGACTCGGGCAATTGCCCGAGCTGGACTTCTAGGAGCTCCTGTCCAGGCCCAGGAGGGAGAGGTGACAATCTACATGGATGACCGGAGTTTTGCAGTTTTTCCTCCGAGTTTGTGTGGGAGAGTGGCCCAGCTTTACCTTCTGACTGGTTCTGTCCCTGTTTCTATTTCCAACCAGTAATTTCACTTACTTCTTTGACTTGGGAAGCCCCCTCAAGTCACTGCTCAAGCTATGGCAGACTTACCCCATGTGTAATTTCGCATTAGCTAGCTGTGAGTTTACCTTCTGGGCCACACAGTGACCCGTTCTCCTTTCGCTAAGAAGTTGGGTGGTAAGATTGATCAGGAGATGTGGAAAGGAAGACACTAGATTTTTCAGAACCAAGGACGTGATTTCTGTGGTCTCTCACAGCCGATTTAGGGGAGAAATGCAGTGTGCTCTTATGCAAGTTTTTGTATTTTCGCTGTGAAGTCTGAAAATCGGAAATCACTGCCAACTGCACGGAAGAAGAAGGAAGAAAATGAAATTTAGTTGGAAATACTGGTCCTTTGTAAACGTTAACCCTTTGTTTCTCCCAGTCCCCAGTTTTGTTAAAATTAAGAGTTCTGTAAAATGTATCAACCCYCCTCCCCCCAAAAAACTTATTTATTTATTTTTAAAAATCGTTATCTTGTTTAAAAGAAAGAATATCTTAGACTCTTTATAATCTTAGATTTGGGCCTAGCAAAATTGCCATGGAAATTTCGGTTCTTAAACAATTGTAGCAGACTGTCCTGTCATTGTAATAATCGGTTGAAGGTTTAGTTAGGTGGTTTAAGAAATTGTGTTTTTACATCATTGTGCTAATCTAAATTCCTTTATTTGTATTTAGAATTTTAGAATTGTTGAATAAACCTTAATTTAATACGAAATTTAAGGAGTGTTGAGTTGGTATTTAATCGCTTATCATGGGATGTCTTACTTAGTAGTTTTTATTACAAGTGAAGAAGGAGATAAGGGCCTTAACCCAAAGCAGGAAAGACTTTCAATTAGTTGTGGCTAATTCCATTCAATTGCCTCTTGTGGAGGTCATGCTGCTGCATTCATGAAATGTGAATGGCTCTATTGACAACATATGGAACTGAACATTTGAATGACTGGAGAGGTGAACACCTATGAATAATAGAGGGACTAGAAAGAAAATGAAGATAGTGCTTCCTAGAATGTTTAGAAATGCTTGGATTCAGCATCAGATCTAACTGTATTCAGTAGTTTTTCAAGGACAAGTGGGCTCTTGGATCATGCCAATGTGCAACATACTTTTTGTGAATTTAGATGTCACTAAAGAAATAACGTGTCTCCTTGCCTTTGATTAGAAGTTGAGTTGAACCAAAAGGAGTTCGATACCTATTTAAACATTGTCTTAAAAGTAGCTGACCTAATTAGGATTTTGTTTTGCAGATAATTTGGTGGCACACTAAAAACAAATTACAGTTTATTTGGTTAGCACAGTCTTTAATTACATTTCCGCCAGCAGTAAATTGTCTCAATACAAGTCCACATTCCTTAAAWGTATGTGAAAATAAGTTCCACTTGTATAAATAAGCACTTGGTCTGTTGTCAGACGCCCTGCTGTGATCACTCATTGAACAGCCCTGTCATTCTTGTACTTTTGTGACTTCTAACCATCTTTGTAGGTGTCACCAAACCATGTGGTTGAAGTTCTTTATTGTAAATGTTTCTTTTGTTTGTGCCTAAAGCTCTGCAGCTGTCTTCTTCACCTTTGAAAGAAGAAAMAAACAAACAAATGTGGAAATGAGTTTTACCTTCTCTGTTATTTGGCATATTGGAATAGGAGGTGTAAGAAGATGCTACTTAATTTTCACATGATTGAAAAAGCTCTTAAATAGATTATGGAAATAAGTAGAAAAAAGGATATTCGACATGTTTTACCTTCCCTTAGGCAATTGAAATAGTAAAAGTTTGCCTTGGGACTAGCTTATGAAAGCATTGTTCAGAAAAAGCACARTGTCTATTTTTTGTTTCATGTATATGTGAGTATGTATTTTCCCCACTTGAATCAGTTGAAATTCCAACTATTCAGTTGAATAGTTTGAGTTACACAATAATAGTACTGCACTTAGTTCTACTTTCAAAAAGTAACCCCTAATAAATACTTTAATGAAAGTGGCTGTTAAAACAGTAACTCTTTGGAGCCTTGCTCAGGAGTTTGTGCTTAACAGAATTCTGAACCTAAAGAAAGCTTCTTGTTTGAATGTTATTTAACCAAAAGAGGGAAAAATTGCTGATGAGAGCTTCCAAGTATTACTACTTTCCCACTGAAATGTCAGAATTATTTATTTTATCTCGTAGAAAAGTTTGGGTTAGCACCAGGGATCAGGCAAAAGCCAGAAAGGTAGATTCTGCTGGAGTGGCTCCTTGAGTGTTGGCCTGTTATAAATCTTCTGGTCCATACCAGAATTGGGGGTGGGGTAGAGGTAATAGTCCTTATGGTTTTCACAGCTGTTTTTCTATATTTTCCAGACTAAAACTCGAACATAGCCGGCTGATTTATGAGTCACTTTGGATCAGTGTCTTAAAACAGCTACAGCCTGGCTTTTTGTTTTTCAGCTTTCCAGATTTCTGCTGAATTAGCAGCTCTGCAGGCCCAGTGGGATTGATTAAGAAGCTCTGCTGTATTTGCATTTTAAAATTTGACTTAAGAAGTCAGATTCCTAAATGCTAAAAGGAAGAAAATGAGAGCTGGAACCACATGTTGTAAATTAATTATTTTCATATATATTTATTTGCTTGCTAATATGCAGGAAGAGAATCTTCTCTCTGTCGTGTAGAAAGAGTTTGAGTTTTGAGGATTTGGTTCTGGGAAAATAGTTAACACTTCTCTCCCATACCACCTTTCCCATTTGTTAACTTCACTACAACATTTTTTTTTTTTTAATTGGAGAAGATGTTCATTAGTGGAATTCTAAAAACGACGAATCTACCCTCCTCTTTGAATGCTTTATGTTCTGAGTTTAACAAAACACAAGAATTGTACAATTGTGAATCTCTCCTGAGTGATGTAGCCATAAAAMCAATGTAAGGAAGATTTAGGAAAATGTGACATCCTTTAACTGGAAAGTAATCATTGCTGAAATGTAAACTATATTAAATCTAAATTTAGGTACATTAAAAGTTTCATGGCTTTAAGTATTTAGCAGTAAAAGTCACTTACAGGGCGATTTTTTTCTTCTCCCACATATAATGTGGTTTTAATAGCACACAAAACTCAAGCATGCAAGTGTGTTGCAATAACTGAAATATTTAAGTTTGCCAGCTCCTGCTTCTGGATCAGAAATGAGTGGTTCCCTGCATGTGCCCTGGTCTCTGAAGGTAGTTTCTCATTTTAAAGGTCTTTTGTTTGAGGATCTCATCCCATTACTGGTAGAAAAAAGTTAAGCACTCAATCTCATTTCTCACAGAATTGCCCTGTGGAATAATCCTAACAATGAAGTGGAGAGTGCGGTTTCAGTTTTTTTAATTAAAAGGAAAAATCACCTGTATTAAATGTAAATGCCAGATTGGTTCCCCCTTTGCTTTTAAAACTGGGAAACAAAGGGGGAATGCAGGTTCAATGTTCCTGAGTTATGTCAGTTCAAATGAGACTCTCTGAGGATTCTGGCTGCCTCCCAGGTGAAGGACTCCTTTCCTTGGTTGTTTTTTAAGCCATGTGGGAAATCTGGGACTGTCTGGGGTGCTAAAAGCACACAGGTTTTGTTTGAATCCTAACGTGAGTTGTTAGGCTCACGGTTTCCTTGATGAACTCCAGATGGACTTGGGCCGGACTGTGAGGGAAAGTGTCTGGCTCCAGCCGGTGGTGAGCATGCACAGCAGTGGTTGTAATTGCAGGATTTTTATAGTTTAAAGACTGTGCCAGATTTTTTTTTTTTTTTCATGTTATAACTCTACCAGAACAAATCTACTCATGTCTGTTACTGTCTGGTAGGTCTTTAGGCAAACATACTTGGAATAAAACCTTCGCAGTTTTTTTTTTTTTCTTTTAAAGGTGAAATAGAGAAATCCAGGGTTTCTCAAAATAAAAACTTGGAGACTGTGAAAGGATCTCTGATTTCTAATTGTTAACTAGGCACTGAGTAACACTTTTCTTCTCTCTGTTTTTAGTTATTTATTTTGGGAGAACATACTTATGCATGTAACATAGTTCATGCTTTTTGTTCAGTGGACTTTAGTTGTTGGAAAACTTTCCTTATTTAAAAAATCTTAAATTTTAAACACAAAGAATTAATTTAGGAAGAGCCAATTTACCTCTTAGAGTGGGCCCCTTGTAAGCCATACTGCAGTATCAGCCCCATTTGCGGTATCAGCTCAGCCATTTTATTTTCATTACACCATTTTGAAGGCACATAGTCAGTGTATTGTTGGAACATACAGGGACTGCAGTCAAGCAATTTGCCAGATTTCGTTTCGAATTTTGAATCKAAGTGACAAGATGAATTCCTTGGACCATCATGTATGTAGGAATTTGTTGTTTTTATATTAGGATTGATATTCTGTGAAATTGTTACTAAGTTAGACTGGGAAACACTAAGTTTGAGTGAGAAACACATTCATTTTAGTGATTGAATCTATCCACAGGTGCTTGTACAGTCTGCTTAACTTTGTTAAAAGATGGTCAATGTGGTTTAAATTATATGTTAAATTACCAGATATTTAGATTTGGGGAACTCCAGAAAGCAGAGGGTTCAGGTGGTTTTGTACCTTTTTAACACACAGGCGTGCGTGCACACATACACACACTCACACACACACACCCCAAAATTTTAATACAATTTAGTGCCTTAACCAAAACAAACAGTTTGGGGTGAAAAGCAATTTCTGTTTTGTCTGACTGCAATAAAACATTGATACTTAATTTTGTGATAATAAAAAGGTTTGCATAGAAGCTGTAGTTTCAGCAACCTGCCTAATTAGCCATTTTTCATGAGCCATGATGTCACTATATCGAGTTGGGAGTGGGGACTTGGGAGGGTAAAGCAAAACTACCAGTTCACAAAAGATCTGTTCACCATGTGCCAAAAACATCTCTTAAAACATTTGTGGGTTTAAAGTATTTGAATCTGCCAGTTCTTAAACTAATTTTGTCCTCTAGAGTTTATATTTTTGAGTTTGGCRTGTTGGGTGCCATCTAGTTTGTGGCCAGAGTGGACAATTATTTCTTCAGTTGTCACTCKGATTGATAGTGCCACTAGTTCATAAGCCCACTCTGTCTTGCATGTTGTTGATCACAATTTTGGTTTTTAGAAACTAATAATTTTCATTTTCTTAAAGGGACCTAAGTCACAACAGATTATCCTCCATCAAGGCAAGTTCCATGAACCACCTTCAAAGCCTTCGAGAAGTGTGAGTCCTAGTTACTTTTTGTTTGAGATTTGCATAAACTATATTACCTTTTCATTGTATAAACATTTGGATTATAATAAATTATTTAAAACTTTGAACTTGGAAGGAATTTTTAAATAATTTATAAAGTTTTCATATCTGAATTACAGATGATCTAATTAGCCCCCCACCACCTTTTCTCACATTTATAGGAAACTGAACAACAATGAATTGGAGACCATTCCAAATCTGGGACCAGTTTCAGCAAATATCACACTTCTTTCCTTGTAAGTGAATATCAACAAAATTTCATGTGTATGTTTGTAAGAGCCATGGGTATTAGATGTTCCATGGTTCATGTGGGCTAGCTTAAAGCTCTTAAGAACAAAGTATGAATATTTCCTYTAGGATATAATAAAGAAGGATTCTTTAACTTGATTAACTTATTTTTCAACCTGTAGTGCCACTTCTGAATCTCAAGTGTCCATGTACCTTCTAACAACATACTTTATGTTTTGCTGTCATTGTTAAACTAGTTGGTCTTCAACATACAAAGGAGCCCCATAGAGATGTGTGTTTGATGACATTCTCTATCTTAGGATTTTAATTCTGGTGTGGCTCAGTGGTTGGCATGGAATCCGTGGATTACATATCTCCTAGTGGAGAATGATTAGAATTGTTTTGTGAGGATACTTGAGAGTTGGTGGTAAGGCATTGAGGTTCCCTTTTTAAAGTGAGGCAGCTGCAGTGGAAGGTCAGGGTTTAGAAACCTCAACTCGAAATATCAACTGAGGCAGTGAGAATTAAATATGTAATTGAAGTTAGAAACATCATCACATGTTATTTTGCAAATAAGAGTTTTCAAATACAATTACAATTGTGGTTTTTGCATTTTTGTAGAGGATAAACATATTTATATTCGTGCATTGAGGTAGATTGTAGAATAATTTTTTTATTTTTGAGCATTTAAAAGTAGCATTTAGAATGTTCCTGATTTATTTTCTTAAATTAAGTAATTTACCATCTTAATCTTGAATAATTAAAAAAAAATATATTTGTGCCATTGAAGCTAAAAACATGTTCCTTCTTTAAACAACTGAAGAGAAAAATCACCATTGTTAGTTGCTTCTGGTGAAGGTGTTGGGAGGGTTGAAATTATACAGTAAATTTCAGGAAAGCTGTTCAATTAATTAAAGTGATCACTACCCAATTGCTTACATCTGGTGATTTATAGAGGTTTGTTTTTACTGAGGGCCCAGGTCAGCCAAGTCACGGTACAGCCGCTCTGTCTGCTTTCTTCTGTTTGAATAAGAACTAAGTGACATTTGATACCGATGTGGTTTTAGCGAAGATCAGAAACAGAAAGGAATGAAAGAAAAAGCAGTTGGTATTTGACAAATAAACACTGAGTCTAAAAAATATTTTTATGCTAGCATTAATATCCATTTTCTTTGTCTTTTACCATTGCTTAAAATATTGGAGTCTAAAATGGAATCTTGGTTTTGTTATCTCACTAGGTATTCTCCTTTGGCCAAAGGAGCTTTTTAAACCCCACTTTGCCTTGCTTTCCTGGTCTTGTGTTTTGGCAGGTTCTGTCAGCATGCTCAAGAGGGCCTTGAGGGTCATGGTACACTTCATTGCCGAGGGGTCTGTGGGGCCAGTTTGTAGCCTGGATAGGGTGAGGAAAATAGTGTGTACTTTGGCCTGGCATAGAGTCGGAAGCCTAGAGCTTGGGAGGAAATTAGAAAATTCTATTGGAAATAAATAACAGCGGTTGTAACCTTTAAGGCTGTAATTTGGAAATAGAAAGCCAGAAGAGTATCTAAAAAGTTAGAAATCGTCAAAATTTGGATTTTTCTCCATATTGTTTTTCTTTGTGTTTGGCTTTAGCAAGAGCTATGTCAAATCAGCCTGAATAATCTCACTCTTTTTCCCCTGAATCTGCTGCAGTACATCTGACCAGTGATTGCATTGTTCTCATGTAATGATAGAACCAATTACTAATTAGATTATGTAGACTCTCCAAGAGTAATTTGTAGGATGGGCTTACTCAGGCAATGTGGAGAGTGAAAATTTATTTTCATACCTATGAAATATCTTGAGGAATTTTGCTTCTGGTTGTTTCCTTCCACCAATGTTTTGTTTTCTCCTGCAGTCTCTTGGATATTGCAGAGCACAACCACTGTTTCTAAAACACTAACCGATTCCATGTTCTATTGCTTAGGCTGAAACATTTTCTTTTTTAAAGAAGAACTTGAAAGTAATCAGAGCTGGATATCAGTATTTAAATACATCTCTGAAATTTTAGGGAAAAAAAATCTACTAAACCACATGACATGACTCAGATTGGATACTTGGTGTAGCGTCACAATTAAAGCCCATATTTTTCAAAGGAGTTTCTAAGACTGTTGGACCCCTGTGTTATCAAGTTTTAAATTTTTTTTTTTACTTTCTGTTGTCTAGAGGAAAACTTTTTTCTGGGTTATTTATACAGGTTAAATAATTTGAAAACTTGTGTTAAAAGGAAAAATTAGCTGAATTTTCAGCATAAGATTTAATATCCAGGCTTCATTTCATTGCTGCCTTGTGCTCTCTCAGCTGGAGGGCCTGGATACAGAGAAGACTGTACCTGGTAAGATCTCCCTCTTAGCCGTAGGAGCCAGGAGCTCATATCTTGTCAAATGATATACTAATGTCCAAAGACATTCAGTTAGGGACTGGTTCTGGTAACATCGGGGAAGCCTAGTAAAATGCCAGGCACCTGGGATGCTGGTTGAACATGCTCATGTACAAAACCCATCTCTAACCTTTTCAGGGATCTTTGAGAATATAAAAGACCTGAATAGACCTGCTTTCCTTTGAATCCCACAGAGTTGCCTCAGAAGTCAGCCCCTGTGCTAGGGGCAAGGCATGACTTGTATGTGTCCTTGTTTTTCTCTCACAATTTCATGGCTGTGGAGGGATGGTATTTTTTAGGTAAAGAAATGGAACAATCTTGGGAATGAACATACAGTAAAACAGTTGACCTGGCATAAGTGAGCCAATTTTACTGATGTGCTAGTTTTGGCTCTGGTGGCCCTCCAAATGTGCTCATTCAGTGGAAAGCCAATGCTTGAGCCCTGCTCAAGCATTGGGCAGTTTTGAAACATGTGGACCTGGGTTAGGGAAGTTTGAATTTGTGACTTGTGCAACATGATTGTTGAATGAAAGAGGCCTTGTTGGTTATTAAATAGGTGAGTTGGGTCTTAGTTGTGATGCTGATGGTTTATATAGTACTGCCCAACTTGCAGACACTTGTCTGGTTTTGAAAAGTGTTTAGGTCAGTAGCTGTCAAAGTTTTACCTGGAGTGCTTGTTAAAAATGGAGCTGGGCACTGTGGCCTACACTGGTGAGTCCCAGTGACTTGGGAGACTCAAACAGTAGGATCAAGAGTTTAAGACCAACCTGGGCAACTTAGTGATACCTGTCTCAAAAGAAAAAAAAAAAAAGTGGGGAGGAGCTGGGGATGTAGGTAGAGCACTCCTGGGTTCAATCCCTATTACAACCAAATACACACACACACACACACACACACACACACAGAAGAAGGGGGAAAAATGTAGATTAGTAGATTCCCTCCTAGAGTTTCTAAATCAGTGGGTTTGGGTAGGGCCTAGGTTTATTCATTTTAAAGTATTTGCTATTCCATAAGTATTTCTGAAATTACTGATAAGGTCAGTATCACAAATAACCGTTTTATCCTTATCTCTTATCTTACCAGGTAGAACATTTCYTCCAAGTCTGTCGTTTTCTTTATAGCCTGTCATTTGTCCAGAGATGACATTGTTACCCTTTTAGTGTGTGGGGGGGTCATTATAAATGCTGATTACCTTTGCTGGTAGCCCTCCAAAACGTGCTCATTCAGTGGGAAGCCATTGTAGAGACTTTAAGCTGTGAGACCAACATTTCTGGTATTTGACAGTGTCACTCTGGCCTTGGTATGGAGAATGGCCTGGAGGTGGCAGGAGCGGGGAGAAGGGGGCAGAGGATTGAACCTATGCAACAAGAGTGGGGTTGGCCCCCTTCTACAGTGCTGCTTTGGTCACATAGAAGAGTAATTAAAGCAAAGCTCAAGTCAGACAGCCTGGTATTAATTGCTGGCTCCACCCATTGTTAGTTTTGTGACCCTGGGCAAGTTACTTTCTTTCTGTTTTTTCTCAGCTTTAAAAGGAGAATAGTAATAATGCCTATTTCACAGGATTATTGTGAAGATTCAGAGAGAGGATACAGTAAAGCCATTTGGTACTCACTGAGTGCTCAGCGACTGAGCCATGACGGTGGTGATGGAGACGATTCATTTCAACTAAAATGTGTTGACTCCCTGTTGTGTGCCAGGCTCTGTTTTAAGTGATGAGCAGTGATGAAAAACTGTGAAATTTCCCTTCTATTGAGGAGAGAGAGAAAAACAGATAGGCAAACAGACTTTAAAAGGAAAAATGACTTCAGTCCATGACAAAGGCCGCGAAAAGGGATTAGAATGCTGTGGCAGATGTCCTTTGATGTGGTCAGTGAAGGTGAATACTGWATGCTGACCGAGTTCCACCTTGTGCTGGGCATAGTTCTAGGATCAGAGGAGTAGTGAACAGAACAGCTCTCTGCCCCCAGAGAGCTGACCTGTTGGAAGGAGGAAGGCAGAAAACACCTGGTGTGATATCAAACCAGGAAGTGTGAGGAGTGTGTGTGGTCACAGAGGGCTCCCAGTTGACCRCCCTGCTCCATTGAGGCCCACTTTGCCTTGTAGACCAACTCATATATAGGCATAAAATGATATTGCTGCTGCTTTTCTCCTCTGCTGCATTGTGAGGCCTCTGTGGTCGAAGTTCCTTTCCTTAATGCAGGTGTGTGTCATAGTTAGTTAATGCTTAATGCATGAATTAAGGAATATTTATAAATATTCATATGCATTTAGCATAATCCAGAGAGATCCATGTACATTTAGTCTAAACCTGTGACTAAAGATTTACTATTGGAGACGGTTCAACTATGCATACTTGGTAAAATAATAATAATTATAAATTATTACAATAATACTGGTTGAAAGAAAAAAAAATGAGAACAAGAGAAGTAATTTCAGTAACTCAAGGATTCACCTCACCACTCRAGCAAGAGAGAAACCTGCTCTGGAGTATGTGGGAGGTGGGAAATCAGAACCCCTTTTCTCATTTGTCTTTGTAAGTTTGAATGTCTCAGCTCACTAAGGTTGACTTTGGTATTTAGAAATACGGCTTTCATAGCACATGTGCCCTTC